GATATAAACTCGCAATTGCGAGAAAAAAAGTCAGAATTGTGAGTTTATATCTCGCAGTTCTGACTTTAGGCTATTTCTCAGAATTGCGAGTTTATCACGCAAAAAAAGTCAGAATTGTGAGTTTATATCTTGCAGTTCTGACTTTATTTCTCAGAATTGCGAGTTTATATCACGCAATTCTGAGAAAAAAAAGTCAGAATTGTGAGATAAAAAGTCGCAATTACCTCTTTTATTTTTTATTCAGTGGCGGAAACGGGTTTCCATAGATAGTGACCACAGTGTTTTTGTTTTGTTTTTTCAAAAAAAATAAAAATAAAAAGTTTGGATATTTACAAAATAGGACTTTTTCTCGTGTACTTATTGGACCTTTGTTTTCAAGTAGACAAATCACTCGCACATGCACTGTAAAAAAAAAATTTACAGGTAATTTGCTACCAGGACATTATTTATTCAGTCATTTTCTGGGTACCCGGATCTAGACTGCAATTCAGCTGGCCCCAAATTATGGAACAAATTACCATTATCTATCAGAACAGCGACTACAGTGCCTGAGTTTAAAAGCCTTTTAAAAAACTATTAGTACTCCTGTGCTTTTAACATCTTGTGATTGTCTATTTTAATTTGCGTGATGGACCTACGCAATTTTGTACAGCACTTTGGTCAACCAAGGTTGTTTTAAATGTGCTTTATAAAGAAATTAAACTTAAACTATTCATTTTACAAACATTTCCATTAACCCTAAAACACAATGCAATGATGTGCAAAGTTTAAAATACAATTTACAAAATATAACGTAATTGTATTGAAATAGTTTTTCTTGCGCACTACCTGTCGGCCCTTTGTTTTTGAGCGCACAGATCACTCGCACATGCGCTGTTGTCCCGCATAGACACAAACACCAGACTGCATGCACACTTTGTGCTTTTTACAGAGACTCCAATGTCATATAAGTAGCATGAATGGCATCAGTGCGTAACAAACACACTGATTGAAGAGAAAAAAGTTTGGTAATAATTTTATGTTTTGGCCAATTGGTGGCTAATTTGTATGAACTTGAACAATCCCATTTGTTTGTTTTCGCACAATCTGCCTACACCCCGTTGACGGTTAGGTTTGGGATAGAGCTTCACTCTTTCACTTTTCTAAAAATCATAAGTTTTCATACAAATTAATACAAGATCGCCACCATAGCTACCCAGATCCAGTCCAGATGGTGGATCAGCGTCTAGAGACGACGTCTACAGCCCTAAATGTCAACTAGACGGCTATCGAGACAAAACCACAAGAACAGAAGAGTCAAGAACAAGAAGAGTCCTCTGCACAATCTGACCTGTGCTGCAGCCTGGAATTAAACTACAAAATGCTGGTTTCGTCTGGCCAGAGGAGAACTGGCACCCTGACTGAGCCTGGTTTCTCCCAAGGTTTTTTTTTTTTCCTCCATTTCTGTCACCGATGGAGTTCTGGTTTTTTGCCACTGTTGCCTTTGGCTTGCTTAGTTGGGGACGCTTAATTTCTGGCAATATTGTTGACTTGATTGCACAGACACTATCTGAAGAGAGCTGAACTGAGCTGGATGATGGCATCACTGAATCAACAGTGAACTGACTTTAGCTGGAAAATTGAGTGTTTTCTATTGTCCTCTTGCATTATGAGCACACGTTTTTTCCTGTTTAACACTGTAAAGCTGCTTTGACACTATCTGTATTGTATAAAGTGCTATATAAATAAAGGTGACTTGACTTAAAATAGTTGCATTTTCTCAGTTTTCACATTGTCACACAATCACCTAATTTTATTTATATTATTATTATTATTGCAAATCATTTGCACATGCACTGTTGTTTGCTTGGACACAAATCGGGCTGCATGCAAACTGTGTGCATGGACATCAGACTGTGCTGATGACTAAAAATACATCATGTGGGCTGTAAGGCAATCTGGAGCAAAACACTGTTACTGGGTGGTACTGAATTTAACTGATATTCTGATGTTGTGCTTCAAGAATCATTCTTTCTGTGTGTAAATTACACTGTGATCATGCTCAATATGGATTTTATGTGTCCTCTCCAGTGTCCTCAGAGCAAACAGACTGTGATTCCTGTAAGATACTAGCGATCCTCTCCCAGCTTCATTTGGGTCACAATGCAACTGAGATCCAGACCTCTGACCTGCTCCAGAAGATGTGCCACCTCCACCCTAATGCTATTCCTCGAGTAATGATCACAAGCACAATACATTATAAAAAGCCTTGGTCCCACTCTATATAAGATGTCTTTAACTACTATGAACTTACGTGAAATTGTTCGGTAGAATGCACTAATGTTCATATTGTATTGTAAAACACTTTGGTCCCTATTGAGGTTAGGGACAGGTTTGGTGGTATGGTTAGGGTTAATGGTGGGTTAAGGGTCAACAATGTAATTATAGAGGAATTAATTACATACAGGAATTTCAAAACTAAGTACAATGAAAAAAATGTATGTACACAATAAGTGCACTGTATTAAATTATACATTTTAATGTTTGCACAGTAGTTAAAAGACACATGAAATGGGACCAAATTCTTTAAAAAATCTCTATGATTTGAGCAAAAAAAAAAAGCATATGGTGACACCTATCAGTATGTGAATTCAAAGATGTGAAGAGACTATCTGACACTGATCTTTAATAGTGACACATGCATTAACAAAAAAGCAATTGTTTGACTCTTTGAAGTTTTTCTCCTTTTTCTGTCCTAGTGTGAAGGGTTTGTGAAGCTTCATGGCCACAGGCTCCTGAAGAGTGATGGGAAACAAGCACCCATCACTGCATGCGAGGTAATAAGCTAACTACTCATTTCATAACTCATAACTTTACTTTGAGGCTGTTGAACAGGTGCTCTAGAGATTCTGATGTGAGAAACTGTGTGTTGTCAACAGGAAGATTACCTTTGCCGGGGACCCAAATGAAAGTGATCGATCAAACTAGATCAGAAAAGCAACAACCTTTTTACTTTACTCGATCAAGCTTCTTCCCTTGCCACACACAGAACCGAGGGGAATTTGAGACGTACAGTACGAGTGGAGACAATGACTGTTCAATCGGTTTCAAATGACCTTCATGTGCCACACTGGGTAAACATTTAATACAAAACTAGTCAACTTAACATAGGAGATCCTAACACTGTGTGCATTTTGTGTAACATTATGTAAAATCACTGCTTCCTCGTTTTTGTGTTGAGATGATGCTGAAATAAACTCGACAGATTCACATTTTAAGGCGTTGTAAGCAGTTAATTGAGAGTAAAGCACTTGTGATTTTTTTTTAATGGCATTTAGACAGAGTAAAATACTAAACTCTGTTTTTGTCAAAGCCTTTTACAATTATCTTCACTAATATAGCTGAAAACATTTAACAAATCTCTCAAAGAAATAAGGTAGAATGAAACGAAAATGTGTCATCTTTGTGTTTTGTTCAAAAACCACTAAGTCCTATTATGCATTTCACCAAGAAAAACCCATTCACATTTCTTTGCAATTTCCATCGCATTTAAATTACAGAACAGACACGACATTAAAAAAAAAAGTATGTTCTATTTTAATTTTGGAGGCTTCGATCTAGCTTATTATTCACTATACCTGTTATTCTACAGAGCTGAATGAATGAAAGACACTGTGTATATAGTCTTGAATCTTTAATAAAAGGTCTCATACTACAAACTGCCAAACTTCAAAGGCAAATGAACATTCACAATCAAACTGAAATAATTACAAAAGATCACCGTTGTTATAATCACCTTACAGACCTTCAGCAGGTACATGAAATAATACACATCAGGGTTTTAGTTTAATGTCTTCTCTCATTGTAACTCAGTCTCTTCATTCTTAAAGCCTTAGAGTGTTGCATTCAGGCCTGGACAGAAATGACTTGTTTCCTTTACATCTCACCACTGCTGTGTTTTTGGGCCTCCTACGCCCCAGTATGGTTTTCTGCTCCATCGTCTTTATCTTGTCTCTTCCAAATCTTGTATATATATATATATATATATATATATATATAAATGAAACTATAACACTGGTTGGATGTATTTCAGAATTCAAACCCTTAAGTGTTGCTAATACAACTCCATTGTGTAGCCATTTAAATTTAAAGAACAAAGTATTGTTTAATTCATTCCTTTTATTCCTCTTTTTAATTGGTCTTAAGTTCTAAAGTCTTACACTTACCTTCATTAGCTGTAAAAACCCTGTGATGCATAAATGAACAATCTTTTGGAAGGCAATGATTACAGCATCATCTCATGTAATGCTAATGCATAAATACGATTGAATAAAATTAATTCCACAAGACTACTTCAATTATAACATTATCAAATGCATTAAAAAAAATTGTGAAAACAGAAAGTGTGCATCATTCATTGACAAGGATGTCAGATATAGTTTGTAGAGTCAATGAGAAAGAGGAAACCAGCACTCCTGATAATCAACAAGCGCTGAAAATAACAAAAAAGTCTGATGTTTAATATGGAAGCTAATTTTTCATTGGGCTTTTTTCTCTGTATGATTCTGTATGTTATCATATTGCTGCTGCATGACCAAAACATCAAAAGCAAACCAAATAGGTGTGAATTTCCTGTCAATAAAACTACATTTTTAATGTAATATCCACCTATTACTTAGCCAACCCCTTCAACTATTACTAGCGAACGACAAATGTAAGTAATGAGCAGCAAACCTGTATGTATGCCTCTGAGAGCGTGATCATCTGTGGAAGGATATCAATCACCTGCAGGTCTTGAAGCTCGTACCACTTCCCCGTGCCCTGTCACACATCACAAGCCACCCAGATTACATAAACCATCCCAACAACAGTGCCGGCGTGCTCTGAATGGATTCAAGCTCACATGATGCAGAACATGAATTCTGTAGGATCCTTCCGTGGGTTTTCCATCGTGAACTACATTGGCCACCAGGTCGTAGGTGGTGATCTTCTCTGTAACCTGCGCCTCTTCTGTCAGGTACTCGCGCAAATCAACGTTCCTATCGTGCAAGAATGTTTTTTCACTACAAGAACATTTCAAAATACATTTACAGAGAATACAGAAATGTCTGAAAGAGTGTAACTTATTTG